CCCCAAAACCCCAAAACCCCAAAACCCCAGGTTATTATAATTTCTATAAATGGACAATATTGACCTCATAGGTAAGTTTAAAAGCCCAGCCTTGCCTCTTAAGAACTATTCATAATCGGGCTACATCACAGTGTTACTCATCAGTCTAGATTCGATAGAGGGCAAAGTTCTTAACAAGTACAAAATTATCTCCATCCTTGGAACAGGCTCTTACAGTCAAGTAAAATCAACAGCTCATATTTAGGTTTACAAAGCCGTTAAGGTGGACGATGACCAGGATTCACCCTCTGGAGACTCTTATCTAGCTTTAAAACTAGTACATCTTTCAAAGCTGGAAAAGGAGACTGATAAGCAGAATGCTTTGAACGAAATTAGACTTCTCTCGTCAATAGATCATCCAAATATTATCAAATTAATAGATGCGTTTCATTTAGAAGAAGATGACCAAATTGGGGTCGTCATGGAATTTGCTAGAAATGGAGACATCAGGCATAAAATAGAGGCTGCTCTTCATGAATCAAGGACTACTGGTATTCATCACTTCATTGATGAAAATGAAATTTGGAAAATATTTATCCAGTGTCTTAAAGGGCTCAATGAATTGCATCTGAGAGGAATATGCCACAGAGACATTAAAAGTGCAAACCTCTTTGTACAAGAAGGGGATATTGTCAAGGTAAGGTGGATAGTACCCTCTATAATCTTTCCATAGCTTGGAGATTTCAACGCAAGTATTGTCCTCAAAGAGAGCCATTATAAGAACCAGAACGGCACCCCTTACTATGCTGCCCCAGAGATCTGGTTCGGTAAAAGCACTGACTCTAAATGAGACATCTGGTCGCTAGGATGATGAATTTATGAGCTGATGTTTCTAAGAGTTCCTTTCTCTGCAAAGGAATCGAAGGAGCTATTTTCAAAAATTACAGAAGGGAATATAGACCAGTTCGTTGAGAATCATCCCTATTCAGAACACCTGATAAATATGGTGCTCTGGACTTTAACATTAGATCCAAATATGAGGCCTTCTGCTAAGGATATACTAGACTCGTACCCAATGCGAGGAATGAGGGAGATCCTACTCAATGACATAGAGTATATCGACTCTTACAAGCCTCCTAAACTCAAGGCGCCTGTTTTTCTTCCGTCTGACAGAAGTAAGCTGAACCGGAGGATTTTATCTAAGGTCGATGATTCGTACAAATTCACACCTTCAAAACCAAAATATCCTACAGGTAAGTCTGATCGTAACTGTATGCAGATTGTTTGGAAGAGTTGTCATTCAGGCTTCCATTCAAGCTTCCGAGTATCAACAAGAAGAGGTTCACCAGGAATAAACAAAACAGGTCTGTCCTTGAGAATGACGCAAAACCTAACCAAAATAAGGCCATGATCAACCGAAGTTTGGATGGAACTGTCACCTTCAAATCTTTGCAAGAAAGGATCTCATCCAGGAAGAAGGACAGTAAGCTGAAGAATTCCAGTATTCACCGAATTTGGAACCGGATGGATGGCTTTGAGAACAAAAAGCATGCACCCACAGGTAAGTTTTATGCATTACTTTCAGGAAGAGAGAGGTATCAGAATGATATCCCTAAGACAAGTCCATTAGTTGATCCCCATAGCGGAATTAACAGTTCAGTCCCAGCCAAGCACAGCTTGATTCTTGATCCTGGAATTTCGTTGGAAAGGAACCCATATAGGATCAGAACTGATTTAATTTTGTCAGGTCTTAAATCTAGAAGTGGTAGAAGGCGAAGATTGTAGGTCTCAGAATTATTAAAAATTAAGCAAGTTTTCAATGATTTTTGATATAATTGGGGTTTTGGGGTTTTGGGGTTTTGGGGTTTTGGGG